AGATAACTCGATTTCCACACGACGCTGCCGATCATCAAAAAGAAGTGTTCTCCAACTGTTTTTGAGAGGCCGTACTCGTTTAAGAGTTTTCATTACCATCAGTATCAAAATTCTGGAGAGACCTATTTGGGAACTTGGCCGTTTTTTGTCTGTGGCTCTAATTTCAACTTTTTTCCAATCCACGTAGTAGGAAAAGTAAAACAATTTATTTACTTAAGCTTGTAGATCGTCCTGCCGAGACAAGTTAGGAAATGAGAGATCCTCCTGACCCGTTACATAGCCACCCATGAACTCCAGCGCCTGAGCGGGTATATGTTTTTTTTCACTGTGACACGAATACCAGGATTCAAGCGTCAGTAAAATGTATGGGATGAATGATAAAAGTCATTTGGCGCCAATGTGAAAGGGGCGCGGGCGAGGAGAGTCGCCGGCGCGGCTACGATGTTGTGTCTGCGACATTCTCCAGGACTCAGCTCGTCACGCATGTCAGTGATGCTCATACCACCGCAACCTGATTGGCTACATTCCCTGGTTACGAATTTCTGTTGCGCAAGCCCGCGCGCGGCTATGCTACCCCCGGACATTGGCCGTCATATTTAGTAATTGGGTGTTTCCACCAAGGTTTTCAGTGAATGTGAATCTATGTTGGTATTTGATAGTGGTTTCATCCAAAGAGCAGGCATAGTTGCGTGAATTGATAACTTGCCAACCTTTTATAGCATTCGTTTAGGAGATGCATTTTAGTGTGAGCATCTATTATACTTTATCCTTCTATTTTATAAAGCGCTAACTTTGTGTGTCGGTTTGTATGTCTGTATGTGTGTGTATGTGTGTATGTATGTATGTATGTGTGTCCGTCCGCAAAATGAAGTGAGTGAGAAGGAAGCTCATGGGATAAACAAACCGCTAACAAATCGGGTAGCTTACAGGATTTGAGATATCAATGTTTTGTAGCAGGATAGTTGTGATAACACTCTTAGGGCTATATAAACACCTGCTTAGCACACTTCCGTTCATTCCACATGGTGCTGCAGTGGCAGCTGGAGGGCAGTGGAGAGAGGAAGGGAGGATGAGGAAGGGAAGCGAAAAATCTACCGTCATATCATGATTGTGTCCCTTCTACTGTATGAAACACCATTGTGTTGCATACGCGTCACTTCCAGGTGTTGGTGTCACAGGAGGAAGGGACCATAGCGGAGGATAGAAAGCTTGCGCAGGAAAGGAAGGTCCCGGCGGTTGACGGGGGACTAATCTGGTATGTCCATAATGCATGTAGTTGGACGTCCAGCATATGTTCCACCATCATTCACAACAGTCCTTTTAGAGCCTGGAATACCCATTTGGGGTAGTAGTATGGGAGGTTAAGTTAACTTGGGTAGTTAAAAGATGTTGGCTTACGAAATCTTGACTCATTAGGCACAAAGTCACGCCTATCGTTCCTGGTAATTGTGCTAGGTACGCCAGAGTAATGCTGTCGGCTCATGCGGAACGTCCCAGGACCACGCTGATTCGGTTGTTCCACTTGCAAATGAAGGATAGTACGAATAGGAACTATAGCGAAGAAAAATGGAGAGAAGCTCCTAGAAACTTTCGGATGCAGGACCTTTATCGCTGGGCTATGGAGAGCTCTAATGAGAGACAGGCGGCCGATCAAGAGATACTAAACGCCGTAAGAAACAATTGTGACGACAGAGCATGGATATGAGCGAGAGCAGGTTCGGTCTATGAGGTCAAGGAGGTAGAAATCTTGTGGTTGAAACCGACGCATTGCCAGGCGAATGCGCTAATGCCTTTGCTGGCAATTTTATGCCGCGAGGTTTGTACAACCGTGATACTTGCCGATTACTCCACCTTTCTCGCGTTGGAGCTTCACTAATGGTAAGCTTATCTAATCCTGTGTTGAGCCTTAAAGGCACAACCCGTGCAGAAGTCGTGTAAACGATTCCCTTCACTCTGTAGGATAGACCCCTAAACGGCAATCGCAGTTGTGGTATTCTCGTTCACCCCATAAGAGCACTAGGGCCTTGCAAAGTGAGCTGAGCAACAGATGAGATGAGAGGAAAATTGGAGCTGCTGCAGCTGCACTTTTCTTTTTTTATCAGGCTGTTGTCTGGCGCCCTCTCATCTGTAGCGCTCTCTCGCCTCATACTCTCCTCTCCGCGCTTAGTCTCTCATTCCCTTAGCACAGCCGATTAGGAAGGTGAGTGAGCCCTTAACCTAAGCGTTTTTGACGGATTCTTTTCCTTTTTCTTTACTGCGCCCACCAATAAATTCGCATTCGTGTGCAAGAACCACTAAGTGATCCTGGAATATGCCTTTAACCAACTTCGATGGTACATTTATCAACAGAAGGTTATAACAACTGGAAGCACACTGATTACTTAGCTTCCAGTAACACTTCTGAAAGGGGCAACGCTCATGATGCCAAATCGACCTTCCCTCAGTTCATCGCCTCAACAGCTCCAGCATTCCGAACAAGCGTTCCCAGTAGAATGGTTCCTTATAGAGAAAGGTTCGCGCATTCGAATGGTCACGAAAGGTTTACTTTATGCCGAGATACATGCATTTAAAATTCGGGGTCGGAAAACGACAGAACTTTCTGGAACGCCTTATATAAAGATATCAAAAAATATTATTATACATTGAAAAAGTTCAAAAGACAGATTTCTACTAAACTTCGAAGTTACAGAATATCCTAGTTATTTGAGATTCACCTGAAATCCCATCCCCATAACATTGACCCATCATTATCTTCTCACTGACATTCATTTCACCATTTTCTGCACCTATAGTGTATTAGCTTTTCTAACGTTTGCTTTACGCACGCAACGTAATAAATAAACAGTAGACAATAAACAATAAACAATGTGATGAACAAGTAGTCAACAGTAACTCTTTTAGTGAAGTTGTTTTGTTTTTGAAGGAAAATCACACATCCTCGTCGCTTTCCTCAGATCGCCCCACTACACTCTGGCCGCTTGACCCCTCCCCCACAGATCACCGCAGAACTAGTTTTTATCATCACTTTTTTTTTAATTATATGAGAAAGCGCAATTGTAAATCATTTTTCTTCTCTATCACCTTTGTCTAATAAACTCATTCTGTTTTTTTGCATCCTTCTGCGTTATTTGAGATGAAACGTCCCATGACTTGTAAGCCACACTGTATTTCAACCTAATTTTGAATTTTTCTTCTGATCTCACAGTACTACTATGGTTCAAAGATAGCATATCAGGAGGCCCTGAGAAGCCTTAAGACGGTTGTCATGGAAGCGAGAACGTTATCAATTCACAATTGAACTACACGCTGGCTGTACGTGACCTCAATTTAAGCAAGCACAGAAAAATACAATAATCAGAGCTATTCCAATGGTCCCCACATGCGAAGTCCCCGGTGTGAAAATAGGTTGAGCTCGAATTCAGGACATTATCCTTGGCTGTTCACCCACTGCCTTAATCACTCATTCACTTTGACAGCAGAAAAATGATCATCCTGCGTTCCATCAATGTTGATGATGTTGCCTACACGATGATATTCAGTCAATCCCCTCACCAGGCGAATTCACTATTAGGAACTTGATGAACTACTCAGGCATTCGTTAAGAAGAACGGGCACCCATGGAAACGCTTGACAATTCTGATACAGTGAGGCGGAGATCTCCGACTTGTAGGCACTGTAGGAAACACCAGTGGGATCAAACATTTGAAGCCTTGCCAACATCAAATTTGTAGTTATTCAGAGAATGAGTGGCTATGCTGCAAAAACCAACTAAAGCTGTGTCTCTAGACCTTTTCAAGAACTTCTCCAATTCGGGTAATCACTCCCGATTGATGATTGATTGTGATGGCATTGTCGGCCTCAAGCTGCCGCCGGCCGACGTCTCGCTGCTAAAAAACACTGGCGGCCGATCACTTTAGTACTTTTTGCTTTTCTTCTCAAGCACCTATGGAGTCGCTTTTCGAATATTTGCTCTTGCGCTTTGTTCACTTCCTGCCTGTTGACTATTATTGATTCATTGATGGACACTGATAATCGTACTCTGCAAATTTTGTCCAGTTTGACTGCTTCATTTGATTTACTTGTTTTGCTTTGCGGCTGCTACCCCATCTTGTTGTTAGTTACACACTTCCGCTATCTGTAAAATAAACAAGGAAAATATTATATTATATAAACAAAATCACATACTGCATTCCACCAAATCCCATGTAATTAAGCATTGGATAAATAAATAATAAATATAGTAAAAAGCAAATAAAAAAGTAATAAATAGCCTAGATCAATAAACGATATACGAGTGTCCTTTGGCTTTTATGCATTATTTACTTTTGCAAGCTGTTTTAATGGATATTTCTTCCTTACGGTGTCTTGAAATCGGTTTTTTGTAGCTCCTTTACATGTCCTAAATAGATGTGTAAAAAAATCAGTTCGATAAATAAATAAATAAATAAATAAATAAATAAATAAATAAATAAATAAATAAATAAATAAATAAATAAATAAATAAATAAATAAATAAATAAATAAATAAATATAACTTCGTATAATGTATGCTATACGAAGTTATTGTCATCCAATTGCTGAAATCGTAAACTTTTTCACTTTGTTTAAAAAAAAAATCCTCCCACTTCCACATGTGCTCAATTAGTGTAATTTATTCTGCATTTTTATTCAATTGTTATTTATTTACTTGTTTATTTTTAAACCTAAAAAGAACCTAAAACCAAGGCTATTCCGTCACATCTTCATTTTTTCAATCCTCTATGGCATTCTCCAATGGCTCTCATAGACAACCTCTTTCAACTTCTTATCGCTATTTTTGGTGTTTACAATTAGTTGCTCGCAGCAACACCGGGAGCGCTGGGTAATCGAAAGGTCTGAATGCCAACGTTAGCCGTATACCGCTCATTTATTGACCTTCACTGTTTGTCGTAGGAGGCAGATTACCCCTATTCTGAACCAATCAATATTTTCACTTTACTGAGCACTGTTCCACTTTCAGAATGGGTTTCCTGTCCGCACTGATCCGCACAGTGTTGTTCAAACTTCAGCAACTTGTCTGGACCACCTTAACTGTCATTGGGTTGGCAAAGGACCGTCTTCTCTATGGCAGTGAGTGCTTCACACCGAAAGAACATCCGAAACCCAAATGTCTGGAAGGATGGGATGAACAATACATTCAATTGAAGGTAATTTTTTTACCGCTCTCTACTAAGCACTCCCTTTACTTAGCAGCTTTTCGGAATGCACTAAAATTGTCCCCTAGTTTAAAGGCACAACCCAGGCAGAGGTCGTGTGAACGCTTCTCTTCGGTCTGTAGTATAGACCCCTAGAGGACAATCACAAATGTGGCGTTCTCGTGCACGGAAACCAACCGATAAGAGCGCTTGGGCCTTGCAAAGTAAGCTGCCCAAGCTGCAGACTTTTTTCTCTTATCAGGCTGTTGTCTGGCGATCTCTCATCTGTAGCGCTTCATATAATGTCATTTTATAGGTAAGCGAAAATAAGTGGCGTTGCTCACCAAGCACACGCTAGAGGGTCTCCCGGCTCGTACTCCACCGAGGCCAACCAAGTGTCCTTCTCCTCAGGGTCGGTTAAGGGAGGAGTTTGCGACAAACATGCGGCCCTTCAGAAATTGACGGTGCAGTGGTGCCACGGATGAAGAAAAAACAGAGAAGCCGCCCAGAACCCGAGGATGGGACCCCCTCCTTGCCCGTTGATTTTCGTATTGACCCAACTCTCAGCGATGCTGCCTCTCTTCATCGCTAACGCTCTCTCTGCTAGACGGCTAGAGTCAGACGGCAAGAAGTGGGCGAGCAGCGGCGTGAGCGAAATTTTGATGGGTAGTTGTTGCCTCAAATCGGAAGCGGAGATCAGTTGGAGCGTTGTGGTACGCATGCGTGATCAATACTTCGCTACTGAACTGTTACTGATTTATTGAACGCCCTCGCCTTTGCTACTAAACTACTGATAAACGTCGTATCACTGCGTCTCTTCAATCAAACACATGAAGGATAAAAAGGATAAAGGATAAAAGGATACAAAGGAGGATAAAAATAAAGGATAAAAATGATAAAGCTGCTTGAGATGAACATGATAAAGCTCCTTGTCGTCGGTCAGTCCCGTCTTGGGATGCGGCACGCATTTAACTTCTATTTATAATACATTCGTAGTGGCGTTTGAATGCGATGTGGCCCATAAAATTACTTGCAGGCGGTTGTCAATTTGTGAAATGCGGTGTTGTGGTAAGTTGTTCGGCCGAGTCTTACCATCAAATTTTCCATTCTCGGCATGGTTAGCCCTCTTTTTTGTCCTTCAAAAGTTTATTACTAAAGCATGATCTGTTTGGCGAACAAAATGCCGCGACTGTCCACATCTTTCACACACTTTCAATGATCGCTCAGATTTTGAAAGCAAAGCGAAGTCTGTGGCGCACCCCAGACGAACGTTTCTAGATTCATCCTCGTAGACAAGGCTTGCTCTTGGTACCATTCTATTTTTTCTTATTTGATTTCAGAACTGTTCGCGCCTACACTATGTCCAAACAGGAGCCCAAAATAAGGATCTTCTACTAATGCTTCACGGATTTCCTGAGTTCTGGTACTCGTGGCGCTATCAACTAAGACATTTCGCCGATAAATACAGGTGAGACTTCTCACTTTCACTTCACTTGCAACTTTCCGGAACTTTTCGTGATGTCACTGAGCTCGTCTGGTCCGAGAGAACCTTAACACACTGTGAAATGGGGTTAGGATCACTTCCCAACGCCATTCCACCAGCGACACCCGATGAACCGCTCCCCTTTCCAGCTATTGTGCTTATTTATTTAAAAAATCAAATCTATTTCAGATTTCAATTTTTGTTAGATAGTTCCCTTATTTTATTTACAGCTATCATTTTCTATTACTTTCTCAGCTTGTTCATCACCTTCGTAATTCTTTGATGAGTGAATAAATGAGCAAATATGTTCAGGTGTGTTGCAGTCGACCAGAGAGGGTACAATCTTTCCGACAAGCCAAAGAGCGTTGAAGATTACCGTACTGATTTCCTTGTCAATGACATCAAAGAATTAGTGGAAGCACTCGGTTAGAGATTTTATGACTGATTTATTTTTTATTATGTACACGTTTGTTGTCTGGGTGGAAGTAGTGTAGTATTAAGTAGCTGCTAAAAGCATGGCCTAAGGATCAAATCCCGGATTGAGTCTGCGATTATTGCAGTGAAGCTTTGATCTTTGGTTGGTCGCTTAACCCATAACGGACGGCGTGCGCCACATGGTGGCGCACGATTATTTCTTTTGTTTTTGGAATGTTTCTAGCAATCTTAATATACCCGTATATACTCTCAGCAATGTGGAATAACATATCTTCCCAGGACCTGGACGACTGGATTTTTGACAAACCTACAATAAATTTTACATATACATTTTGTTAAAGGCAAAGGTCGGGATTAGTTGACCGAACCAACCCTTTCGGTCATCTCTGTACTTGGTTACCGTCCCGCCGTACAGATGTTCCCACGCTCAAAATCTCGAACAACGCGGTAATAAGGCCTCAGGGCACGTACTATGCGCTATCGCCGCCTGGCCCCGCTACGACCGCCCACCTTGGGATGTGGTGCGTGGCTGGCATAACGTGTGAAATCAGCTAGGTTGATTGCCGTATCAACCGATAGAACGACTGATATCTTCAGAAAACTTGTTTGTACGTGCCTCTTCCCCAAGCCAGCCTCCTTCACTGCTAGTGGGAAAGAGGGTTTTGTTAACGGCCTTGTCGACGGTTTTTCTCAGTTTTTTTCTCCACTGTCGTTCCACTTCGCATCTCTATACTCAGTTTCAATCGCCATAATACCCCTTATCCGACTTTGCCTTAATTTTCATAAGCTTACTATTTGAATGGATGGCTTACAGATGGTTCACTCGTCCCGAGACCCCTTCCCCTAAATATAGCCACATCCTTGCTCGGGGTTGTTGTTCCGCATTTTTCCATGATTTCACCTGCAGCTTCCATTCATTCTTTGCACCCTAGTTTTAAAGCGGAAAGGCGGGTTACGAAGTTGTCGTCAACGGAAATCTCTTCTTTTGGATGATGAGACAAGGACACCTACTTTAGCCCCGTCTTAACCCTGCTGTTCGCATAAGCCTACATAAACCCTACCCTGTGTGGGCGGCGTGCGCCACCATGTGGCGCACGCAACAAATACACTGGCCGTATACCGTAGGGTAAAAGGAATCAGATTTTTGGAAATGGCATAAGTGCGCCTACGGAATATCGGCTAGCTTCCACACTTGTTTGCCCTGGTCGTTCTGAACCACCACGATCTTACAGCTGGTTAAAGAATGCGTGCATATTTCGAAGAGAATAGATAACTCATGTAAGAACTGCGTGCATATAATGTGAACAAGCTCCAAGCCAAGATTGATAACAACTTTTATAAACGTTGTTATCAATCTGTTAGAGCCTATTTCACTATAGCTGACATATTCTCATACGAGCTCATGCGCATAGATTCGTTGAGAGTCCACATGGAAACTGCTGGGCATCGTCGCTAGGCTGTGCACGTTCCACCCGGTATAAGAAAGTATGTATCCACGAGTTGATCCACGATTCAGAGCGCACACGTTCAGACATGACGCCCCGCATACTGCGGTAGCGCCCTTATTTCTATTTGATGTCGGATACGGATGTACATAGTAGTTGGGAGTAGAATATTATTTGAAGTAATCTTATTATTTTTATCGACATTCTGGGAAGTCATGAAGCGCTCACATCAGTTTTTATCGATCATTCTATAGTGTGTAGATTCGACTTCCATTCAGAATGATGGAAAGCTCTCAAGGTTTACTCCAACCGTGAAATGAACAAGGAAGCATTAACGGAACTTGAAGCGGCTTTTAAATTTTTAAGATTATACTGATTTTCCCATCTTCGCAAAGATGGAAAGCTTAGCTCATCTCTATGGCCATGATCTCCTGTGTGCAGTGCTGCGCTCTTGGTTACTGCAACATTTCCTCTCTCTTTGAAAAACGTAGTTGTGGAAACACTTCCGAATTTTTGACTTCGTATTGTGATGTAATTGTACAAAATATTTTTTCTTAGGCTATTCGAAAATCTACTTGATGGGTCACGATTGGGGAGCGGTCATCGCTTGGAAGGTAAGTGAACGTCTAACTCTGATGCACTTGATTGTATCTCTTTAAATTGATTATTTAGTTAACTTAAAGCTTGGTTATTGCTCTCGGAGCTAAAGATAGAGATGGGGTAGCCGACAAGAGGCTCGTCGCGCGGCAAGAAGGCAGAGTCAGCGGACGAGTCGCAGCGCGTGATGTGCGATGTAGGACGTACAATGGTACATTCTATTTAACTTGACGCGAAATCACTACAGTACGCGCCGCGACTCGTCCGCTGACTCTGCCTTCTTGACGAGCCTTTTGTCGAATACCCGTGAAGATACATTAGGGAAGTTAGGAACATCCTTGGCTGCGGGCTGAACTGGACATAGTGGTGAACAAAAACAGACACCCCGCATATTTGGAGATGATCCTTCAGCAAACCGCAAATGTCAGCTCCTTGTCGCGCCCTTTCGGGTCGCGGGAGCCGAACAACCTATCTGCTTGCGGACTACTCTGCTGTACTCGTGGAAGATAATAATCTAACTCCTTCGTGATGTCTCTAAAGAACGCGATCACGCTTGCTTCAAGGTGGAGTTCCTACCTAGGTGTTATCAACCGATAAGACCTGAAACCAGGGTCAACTGCGTTGAGAGATCCTCAACGCACGCTGTATGGGCGGAGACACAGACGGCTCGAGCATGCGAGTGTGAATGTTCGCGCGAGAGAACGTGTCTAATCGGGCGAAACTGCGCAACGTGGCCGTTGAGAACTGCGCAACGCAGGGTTGACTCTGCCTGAGTGGATAACGGGTGGCGTAGCTTACCCCATCGGGATTATTGCAATATCTATAAGATAATGCTCTGATAATAAGGCGTCACTTCAGTATGATAAATCGGCGATAACACTTAACGGTCACATTCTACTGCGCCTGCCACTGCCACCGTCTTCAAATCTCAATAACGGTATTTGTTATTACTACGCTGCGAAAGTGGATTCTGGCTGCCTTATCACGCCGCTGATAAGGCGCCACTGCCACTGAAAAACAATTTTGTCTCATTGGGCAGGACCCTTACCCAATCCAGTACGTCACTTTCCTTATTGTCCCCATGACAATAATCGTGACCACTTCTTTTATTGCGATCCCTCAATGTAAGCCTGCCTTTTGAATATGGTGCCAAAAGCAGCTCAGCTTTTAAGGATATCAATCGAGTGGTAATTATGATAGTGCTTTGACCGTAATTTGCATGATATTGAATATGCGTTTTGCTATAATTTCTGACTGGATAACTAAAATGGAGCTACGAAACAAAAATCATTGTTTTCTAGTTTGCTCTCCACTATCCGGAATTGGTCGAGAAGTTGGTGATTCTTAAATGTGCCACATCCGAGTGCCGCACTAGAGATGATGATGACGAATTTCAGATTCTCAGGCTGACTAAAAGTTGGTAACTGTGCTAACAGTCGCGACAATCTTGTTGCACAATTTGAGTTTTGTGAGGATCTGTCCGATATTCCCCAAGTTATTTTTATCCTCAGTACAGATCTGGTTACGCTCATTAGGTGGATCCCCAGAGAGATGTGGGACTGGGGTGGTCTATGTGACATACGGAACGTCATTTGACGTCGGGCAGTGTATGGTAAGTGAGTCACCTACCACTACACCATATCTGCTATCATTGATCTTCCAGCGGAGAATCCTTTGGCATTTCTTTCTCCACAGATGTGTCAGTTATTTTTCACAAGAGACAACACATAAAGTTTCATGCGCAAAGACTCGGTTTTCAAAGAAAAACAAACTCACAAAAACCACACTGTAAGGACGGTCGAAGGTACTTAAAGTAACGTCTCAGCAGGGTGGGCGTGGTCGGAAACGACTGCAATCCCCTCGGCCGATTCCGACCACGCCCACTTCAGCTCCCTCCCTAGCGGCTTTCCAAGGTGAGTTTTTGTTCAGTCACACTTCCTACGTTCTTGACTAGGGGCTGAACAGCTCCGAAGTGGGAATCGGCCGAGGGGATTGCAGCCGTTTCCGACCACGCCCACCCTGCTGGGACTGTTGCTTTAAGGACGAATATTCACGCTGAAAGTCAACCCATTCAAATAAGAGCGATTGTGAGTTGGTACACTAAAGAAGGAAAAACCATGCGAAACGGCCCAGAACCTGAGAAAGAAATGGGACCCCTTCCTTGCCCGTTGATTTGAGCATTGATGCGACTATCATCGCTGTGCCCTCTTCAACGCTACGCTCTCTCACCTATCTAATCACTCACCACGTATAGACCTGCGGCGAGTGATCAGATGATCGGTGGGCGTGCACTGACCAGCCGCGGCGGGATTAAACCTTAATAGGTCAACGAGGTCAACTCCTCCTGTGCAAATTGTGCTTCAGTTCGCACACTTAGGAGCTCCGCGGGTCCCTCAACCAGGTGAATTCTTCTCCATCATCGATTCTCCTCTGAATCGTTGAACTCGTTCTTTGAGTCGCGCGGAGCCAAAGACGGGGCTGAAAAGAAGTGCGCCGGATATCAGGCGACACAATGAAAGAATTCGGTGAAGGCATTCGATTTTGGAGAATAGAGGCAAAATAATTGATAGAGAACTGTATGAAATCAGTGTTGAGATGTCAGTACCGAAAACTCAAAAAGAGTTTCTAGTACAGCACTCCGTGAATTACGTAGAATTACCCCGCCACCAGCATTTCTGACAGATGTCCGGCGAGAGTTTGGACACTTAACACAGTCCTTCCGGTTTTTCAAATAGTTTACCCAGTTTTTTTCCTGGTTTTTTCGCATAGTTCCGCAACAAATAAAATGCAGTTTTTTTGCTTATTTCTTTCTTATCGTGGACGATAAGTCCCAAGCGAGTGATTTATGGGTGAGATAAAATCATGCCTTCTCCGGAATGGATTCCTTTATTAGAGTGTGCGACGCGTTCCACAAAGAGATTGATCAATATCCTAATTCTTTTATCCTTTAAGTCGTTTCGGTATACAGATATAACTTTCGATAACCCTTTCGACTAATAACTGGTTCTAAAGGCAATGCCATGGGATCACATTTTGTTGTGGTTTTTGTACCAAGAATTGCGAAGTGTTGGGGAAGTGGGCCGTGCAGTAAAGAAAAAAAAAGGAATGCGTCGAAACCGTCTTTAGGTTAAAGGGCTATTTCACTCACCTTCCTAATCGGCTGTGCTAAGGGAATGAGAGACTAAGCGCGGAGAGGAGAGTATGGGGCGAGAGAGCGCTACAGATGAGAGATCGCCAGACAACAGCCTGATAAGAGAAAAAAGTCTGCAGCTTGGGCAGCTTACTTTGCAAGGCCCAAGCGCTCTTATCGGTCGGTTTCCGTGCACGAGGACGCCACATTTGTGATTGTCCTCTAGGGGTCTATACTACAGACCGAAGAGAAGCGTTCACACGACCTCTGCCTGGGTTGTGCCTTTAATATGGATGGACATTTTGGAGAGTAGGCATTTTTGTTTATAGCGTCCAGGAGATGGGTGCAGCATGCCCGAACTCGGGGATGGTGTAAAAACCTCTACGTCTCTGCTGGTCAAGTCGCAACTCTCATGGTCAAGAATGGGGGAAGCGTCTAGAGAGCAGAGTTCTGGGGATCCCTCCCCGAGTTGGTGCTTGCTGCACTCCGCCCCAGAAGTTTTTCGGGGCTGCGGCATCACACGTCCCAATTTTCTAAGGCGTGCCCACATGGCGTAATAACTTCGTATAGCATACATTACGGCGATGTGTTTAGCGTGATCTCTGCTGCTGGAAATGTACCTTTTTGTGAAGATTGTTCCTGTCTAGCTTATCATTAATAGCTTCAAAATGTTTGTTTTCAGGTACATTTTTATGTTCCAAAACCCCAATTGTGCCCGAGTTAACAGTGAAAAATCGTGATTTTCACATGTTTGATGTGATGCTACGTGGTAAGAAAGCCGGAATTCGGAACGCTCAGAATTTCACTGACGAAGATCTCGAAGCATGGAAACATGTGTTCGGCCAAAAAGGTATAGAAGAACTGTTGAACGTGTTGATTTAATTTAGGTGGCAGACGCTGCCACTGCATGGTGTACCGGGGGCCTCATATGCGTCAAAATGCATCAGCTACGAGGCTTGGGCAACTTTCTCATGAAGTCGTAAAGCGAGCATGCGCAAGCTTTACATGACTGAGACGGCCATCCGAAAGTACTCCCTGTCTGTTGAAATACCTTCCCACAATTAAATTCGTATTTTGGACTTCTGGGGGAGATGGGTCGTATAACTCAGATTTCGAGTGCTCTCTGATGAAGGATGCTAAGTTTTTTGTTGTGGTTGGAAGTTTCATCGAATCGAAATTCAAAAGTTTCAGCCAATGTTCCTTTCATAGCAGGAACATGTTTCCTCCTTCTCCTACCTCTGTGTGCACTTGTTGAAGGCGTGTCCGAGGTGGACATGTTCAGCCGAGACTATATCAATCCACTGGTTCGTCGATAATGTTCGTTCCTTGGGGATCTAGAGGAACGTTCGTCCAGCGCCATGACTTTTTCTCAGCGTGTAGGGTTTGAACTTACTTACTATCGCTTTCGCTAATGCCGTTCACCGTGCGTGGTTGCAAAAAACAGATAGTGGTGGAATTTATAGGTAATCTCTGTGGAAGGTAATTGGTAACCTTCCTTTAGTGGACATACGATAGGAGAAACTTACCAGCACATTGTGAAGTTATGCCTTTTACGGGACAGCTGTTGTGGTCACTTCAACAACATCCGGGACTTCTCCAATCGATAAGTCGTCCCCGAATTTAGGATTTGCCCATTTGAAACCGCAGTGCTGTAAAAGGAAACCTTCTCTTAGCTGTAAGTCTGTCAGACGGAATCTGAATGCAAAGTTACGATTACTCGATCGTGTCCTTTTAAGAGTCTTCACAATTACTCTTCCAGATGCTCTGACTGGACCAATAAACTACTACCGCAACCTGAAGAAAGCCCAACCGCTTCATGGAGATGAACGCATTTGCAAGGTAAGTCAGCCTTTTAGGATGTTCAGTGGCTGAATTTTTGTTGTTTTTCTGAGCAAACCATTGCCTTGCTATGCGTTTTTTAGCCTCCCACGCTCATAATTTGGGGAGATGAAGACCAGTTTCTCGTCAAAGAAGGAGCAATAGCGAGCCTGAAGGTAAGCACTTTGTTCCAATCGGCCCTTTGTACAGGAGCAAGGCGAGCCTCATTCGGTTTTTCCAGTATTGCCGACACGGTCAGTTGAAGTTCATCGAAGGTGCATCACACTGGGTCATGCAGGACGAGCCGTCTCAGGTTAACAGCTTAGTGGATGAATTTCTCGCCACTCCCACTCAAAAGCTGCTGGAGTCATCGTCGTCGAAATTGTAATGGTGTAATATGTATTATGATCTGATATAATTTGTTTTTCTTAATAAAATACATTGAAAACAAAAGCAGTAAAAAATTTGGGGGAGTAGGGTATACCGGCCAATCTTTGTCGATGATCCGAAGGATCGTTGACAAGTCAGCGGTGAGAGAGGGGACGGGCGGAGACGGCTAGACAAATTCAGAAAGCAGAAAAATCCTTCGCGATGATATTGGACCCTGTTTTGAGGAACTGAATTAATTTCATTGGACAACGTGACCATGTATGTACATATGACAGAAAACATACACATTCTGTGAAGGCGCCACTTGCGTTGTATTGTCTGCAGCCGACGCTCTTCTCGTATTTTGAAATGGAGGGTATGTATTTCGTAAACTGAAGAACAGAGATCACTAACTGAACTTTTGTTGCGAAATCAGGAACGTGTCATCCGGTTTACTTTGCGTTTTTACAGAATCAAGGGTTTTTCGATGGTGTCCGTAGGTAGGTGGTGGTGTCCGTTCCTCCAAGTGGTGCCACTGGAAACTGCTCACTTTTGTGAGCTGAGCTGAACACGGACATTCGAATGCAGGCGACAGGCCCCGTGACAGGCCGGCCTACGAACACCCACGTCACATCACAAATGTCATGTCGCTATATGATCTCGAGATAATGCTACGGCGTCCGCGGGAGCCGACGCGCACT